TGTCCAGGGGACCATGAAAGCATCCCCGAGCGAGTCCTGACCCATCCCCGCTCTGGAACAATAGGCCGTGCATGCCCTGTTCTGTTGTGTGGCAAACAGGTCGATGTCTGGCTGGCCCCATCGGTGAAATAGCATGTCGCGAACCCGATGGTCTAGCTCCCATTCGTGTGACCGCGACATACGTCTGCTCAAGAGATCCGCGTCTGTATTTTCTGTGCCCGCAAGGTGAACTGCTAGAAGAGTGATACCTCTCGGTATGCACCAGTCCCAAATCTGCATGGCCAGGTGGGCTAGTTTCCAGGATCGGGTTCCCCCTTGTTTGTTCAAATAAAAGACCGTCGCCATGTTGTCTGAGGTCACCTGGATGACCTGGTGTAGAAGCACATCCTCAAATGATTGCAGGGCTTTGAAAACGGCAAGAAGTTCCAGAAAACTGATATGGTTCCTGCAATCCCGGTAACTCCATATCCCCTGGGTACGTAGATCGGAGCAAATTGCTCCCCATCCCAGCAGGGACGCATCGGTGCCGAGGGTTACTGTGGGGTACTGGGGCTGAAACGGAACACCTACAGTCAGATTGGCTGGGTCTATCCACCATAACAGGGACTGAAGAACGGAAGCCGGGAGTCGAATCCGTTTGGTAGGTGGATCTGTCTGTGGTCGAAACATTCCGTTGAAGAACAGCTGAAGGGGACATAGCCTGAGTTTGGCATGCGGAACCACAGCGATGGAAGCAGACATGTGTCCCAACAGGCTCTGAATAGACCGGGTGGGGAAGGTTCTTGCTTGTCGAATCCGAGCGATGCACTGAGCAATCGCATGCCGTCCGTCCCGAGGAAGGAAGGCTCTTGCCAACATCGAATCCAGCTGGGCTCCGATAAAGTTGATCACCTGCGTAGGGAGAAGGGAAGATTTCTGTTGATTAATACAGAGTCCGAGATCGTGCAATAGAGCACATGTAAACTCAACAGCAGACGAAAGTCCTGCTTCTGTGTCGGAGACAGCAACCAAAGGTACGGGTATATCCGAATTCCATGTAATCGAAGGTGTGCACAGACAGGAGCCATACACTTCATAAAAACCCGTGGTGCAGTGGCTAATCCAAACGGTAGCACCTTGAATTCGTAGATTTCAGAGTCCACCACAAAACAAAGGAAATGCCTATAACTTGGATGTATTGAAATATGAAAATAGGCATCCTTCAGATCCAATGAGGTGAACCAATCCCCTCTTCCCAGCAACGGGAGAATACTTTGAAGTGTGGTCATCCGAAACTTCTTTGGTGTTATGAATCTATTGAGAGCTCTCAAGTTCAATATTGGTCTGAGACCCCCATCTCATTTCGGGACCATAAAGTATCTGGAATAGAACCCATGGAATCCCTCCGATAACGACAGGTGACGAACAGCTCCTTTAGCAAGGAGTTGGTGAATCTCGTCTAACAGTACCAAGGAAGTCGGAGTATAGCGGATAGGATTCGGTGATGGCACAATGTCGAATTCGATTCCATATCCGTGCTGAATGATAGATAACACCCACCCATCAGATGTGATGGACTCCCAAATGGAGAGCCGACTCTTCAGTCGATCCCCAAATGAGAGGGGGGAGGGTAGAGTTGGAATGAGAGGAGAGGTTCGCTCGTCGCATCAGCGCTGTTGCCTGTCCGTATCAAAGTGGCGGCGGCCCTGTTGGAAGCGCTGGGGT